CCCTCTGCCCCGCCTGCTCGCCACGCTTCCCCGGCACAGGGAGGCGTCTGCAGGCCGAGTGCTGACTGGGCGGAAGTCCAGGGTGGAGCAGGGGGAGGGGCCAAGGGACACTCTGCCTGTGGCCCTGAGGGACGCTGCCTAACTGTAGGCGCCGCGGCATGTGACGGAGGAAGTGGCGTCAGCCACACCTGGGCCCCGTGGCCTGTGAGCGGTGCACCTGGAGCACCCGCTGAGCGGGCAGTGTGCCCAGCACTGAGTGAGAAATGACTGTTGCCCATTGTAGAGACGGGGAAACTGAGCCAGGACACAGCCTGGGCACAGCCTGGGTGATGCACGTGGCCCAGAGCACCTCGGGAGGGAGGGCAGGGTTTGCACTGCGGCTTATTTTTCCAGTGCGAGCCTTTAACAAAATGATGACAACTGCCCCAACGGCCGCGCGAAGGCCGGCTGTTCATCATCCGGGGTAAGTGGTGGACCTTCCGGGGCAGGAGGGCTCCTCCTTCCCCCGACGCCCACACACAGGGCAGGTGGGACTGGCTCGGGGTTCGACCACCTGGGCACAGGCGTTCCCAGGACCGGGGGCACCCCCGGCACACACGGCAGGTGTGGGCAGCTTCATGCGGGGCTCCCAGGCTCCCACCTCACCCCGTGATTTGCCTCGAGTGTTACTTGTGAGTGAAACAAATGTGGAGGTGAAACTGGTCGCTTGCCATGGCTGAGCCCGTGGGGGCCGGGCCCGGTGCTTCATGTCGCCCGGGGGCACAGCGCCCACAGTTGGGGTACCACCTCTGTCCACGGGGAGACGGATGGAGCTTCGGGGATCTCCTGGCCATGGGGTACGGGTTGGGGCGCAGGTCCCCTCTCTGAGGGTAGCAGGAGGGAGCGATGGAAGCACAGTGGTCAAGGGCACCAGACCCCACAAACACCTCCCCGCCCCAGCTCGGTCAGCCGAACCCTCCGGCCCCCACGCTGGCCGCCCGGCTGTGGCTACGTTTGTGGGAGGTGCCCAGAGATCTCCTATGAAAACCCAGACTTCCCAGCTTCGCCTATAAAGCTGGGCCACACCCTGGCCACACACTCAGATGGGGCCCATTGGGTCCAGCAGGCCAGGCCCCACATGGCTTCTTTGCCTGACCCCTGACCAGGACGCCCAGCCACCGGGGTGGTGGAGGGGGCAGAGACAGCTTCCCCTCTCCGGCTCCAGGGGCAGGAGCACCCCCAGAGGGGACCCTAGTGGAGGCGGGTCTTGCAATGACAGAGGGGGAGGCTGAGCCTTTGCAGGGAACACCTCCCCCTGGTGGCCACATGTGAGTACAACACCTGGGAGAGCTGACCCCAGGAGGGACCCTAAGACCAGCCTGGAGGGATCCACACTGGGAGGGGCAGCGGGGCCCAGCCGGCTCACGCGCCCTCTCCGCAGGGAGCTCCCGACCGGCTCTGCCAGAGGCACCTGCTCGCCATGCTTGACGCCAAGTGGGGTTTTATTTCCTTTATCTTTTTTTTTTTTTCAATTTATTGACTTGAGAGATGGAGAGAAGGAAGGAGGAACATCGATTTGTTGTTCCACTGATCCACGCGTCCACTGGGTGGGTCTCGTATGTGCCCTGACCAGGGATGGGACCCACAGCCTTGGTGTCCCCGGAGGACGCTCTACCCAGCGAGCGGCCGGCCAGGGCTCATGTCCTTCCTCTTCCAAGTCCAGGTGAACCGTCACGTGAGTTTGTCCCGGGCACGGGCTGCTTCCCATCCTGTTCCTGGAAAGTGAAGGCAGCACATGGAGCCCTGGCCGGCGGCTCAGCTGGTGGACTTCCATCCAGGGGCGTCGCTACAGCTCGGGACACAGGCTCCGGTGGCCCTGCCCCGGGGACCCGCAGCTGTCGGCATTCGGGGCC